AATAAAAAAATTATGTGGCAGATCATCTTTACGTGGCACTGGTTCTGCATTCTTCGCGGTAATGGCATTCAAGTCTTGATAGTCTATATCAAACCGTAATTCGCCTTCTTTCTTTGGCCTGAACGCATCGTACGCTGATGTTTTTAGCTTTATCCACTCTCAACATGAGAATACTAAAATAAAAAAAAATAAAAAAAAAACCATGAGAATGAAGATTCCAGGTACACCAATAAATATTAAATTCAACTACGCATGTCACCCAAGAGCATACACTTACACACTCAATGCGGCCAGCCATTCCCAATTATAGGCTTCTCTTTTTTAAAGTTTTTTCCCAACTCCTTTTTTGAAAGGGGGTTAGCCCCGTACCGTCTTCACCCGAATAGAACGCCCGATCATTCTAGCCGTATTTGGTGCAATTCACAGTCCAGATACAGCTATAACGACCGGGCGTTCTATTCGGGTGAAGACGGGAACATTGTCGTATCATTAGGATTCAAAGATTGAACTCATGACCTGTTTATCAACAGCAGCTACGTGTGTACAACATTCACCCGCAAGGCTGGGGTTTCTACTATTGTTGGGGGCTTTTGGCCCCCAACAAGTATTCTTTTGTGTATCTCTGAAACAGAAACAGATTCAAATAACAGGAGGACAGAAGATTGCTTTCGTGTGCTGGCGAATATTTTCTGTACACTGATGTCTTGTCTTTTTCCACTCGTGCATCTGGATTCTGGACACCCGCTAGGCTTGCAGATCTAGCACATAGTCTTTTGTGTGTACCTGGACAGGAAACAACGGAACGAGACATAATTGCTTTTGTGCTCTGGCAAACAATTTCTGTACGCTTACAGTTTTAGTTTTTGCGCTGCCAAATATTTATTTTGTGTGCGCATATGTAGATCCAAGTCCTAGGTTGAGCATTTCCACCGAACTTCAGTGTTCGAACTTCAAACTGATTCCATTGAGCGCTCTCTCTTCCCTTGCGATCAAAATTTAATAGCCTTTCTTCGTAGAGTTGTCTACGTACCTGGACATCCAATAGCCTCTGGGTTCTGCATAAATCTTCAGGATTGCTTCGAGGGTGTATATCTCTGTGAAAATAAGAGAGAGAGCCTGAACAGAAATTCGCAGACAAAACAAAATAACGAAAACAAAAACAAAAAACAATGTGTGGAATCATTCTGGGCGCCGGCAGACAGACCACACTCTTCTTCAAGGGCAGAAATTATGCTGCAACAAAACTCAGGAGCAGCGAAAAGAAAATCCTAGTCCAAAGCCACGGAATAGACAGCAGAGAAGGAAGGTGCGCAAGAGTCGATGAGGAAAAGTATAGATTGATATTGTTATACATACAATCCTAATATAGCTCAAACGGCGGTCACAAAGGATCGAGGACATACAGACAATATGAGAGGATCACAGACATATGAAAATAGGAGGGGATGGGAATGCTATGCTAGTCTAGAACCAGACAAAGACATAATGTTGGGGGCGGGGGATGAGAGAACAAGAAAGAGCAGCATGGGAAGGAGCCCTGCCCATCCACAATTTGATGACATAAAGGGACCTACCGTCTTCACCCGAACAGAACGCCCGGTCATTATAGCTGCATTTGCCCAATTTTCAGTCCAGATGCAGTGATAATGACCGGGCGTTCTATTCGGGTGACGACGGTAGTTGATCCATTCAGACTGCGGTGCCCCGATGAGAAACGATATTACCTATCACAAGAGAAACAGGAGTAGGCATGTATCAGCATCGAGGATCGCCAACTTCCTAATCTCCAGAGGAATAATTGGGTCCCTACACGACACCGGGATAGGCTCATTACCATTCATGAGTGGGATGGATCACAAGCCCATCTTCCTTTTTCTAGTAACGTACGAACAGATAAGAAGAGGGAAAATTTTCTACAAAACTTAACAAAAGTAATAATTGCATAATATAGACTCTCGCGATGAAGCAAGTGATACTTGAGACTTGCCTGGCATATGGTTCAAAGGGACAATCATTCCCTGACTTGTTGAGCACACTGTCACAAACATCAGCAAAGGTGGCTCGTCCGCTGGGAGTGAGGAGGGGGAGGGAGGAGGAACTGTACAGCGTGTTGGCGGTAGCGGAAAAGAACCTAATACAAAGTCAGGAGTGCGCTTTGTACGAGGGAGTTCTGGGCAGGACAAGGGGGGAGTTGAAGGACTGGAAAAGATGGAGGAGAAGTAGAGGCTTGCAGATGCGGGCAACAGTCAGAGAATGGGAAGAAGGAGAGAAGATGACAGAAAAATTCTTTCTTCCATAAAATAAAGAAGAAGACAAAAGGAAGGAAGGAACTCATTGAATGAGAATTGCAGGGAGAAACCAGCATACCAAAGGAGATAAGAGGAATTGGTGGAAGGAGCGCACAACTTTTTATAGAAAGCTATATTCGTCAACGGAGCAGGAATATACTCACCAAGAAAGGTCAGGAGCAAGAGCTAAGGTTTTATCATATTATTTGGAGCAATTTTTTTTATTTTTTTTTTACATTAACCCAGTATCCTTGCTAGGAGAGGTGGTAAGAGCACCCCCTTGTTATGATTCTGGTTGTTTGTTGCCTGATGACCAACACTCACTCACATAGACTCCCAGGTATGCCCATACATACACAGAAGGAAGGGGAGAGGATAGGAGTATCACACCGCACAGGGAGAGATAAACACAGCGGAAGACTTGACCATGCGATATGACAGGGTACACTGAAAGTGCAATTCACTCCACTCAATCCTCACAACCAGTCATAAAGGAAAGCCGAGTAGATCACATCCAGGAAACAATGAAACGATGATAGTCCAAACCCAGTATTCCACTGTTTACTAAACTCAGAGTCTTGAATTGTCAGGATAATCTCAGAACCACAGTGCGCTGCTCAGAAGTGAGCAGCGCTTCACTCCCCAACCCTGAGTAGCCACTCGTAACACCCCGGAGCCCCTGAAACATCAAGCGCCACCCAAGTACTGCCTCCAGAGGACAGCGTCACCCTGAAACAGGCCTCTGAAGCCAAGCGCCACTCAGAGGGTGAAGAAGAAGACCCGCGCCACAGTATCTGATGATGACGAGGTGTCGAAAGACTTCCCGGGTGGAAGTCTGCAGCAGCGCCACCACTGCTGACAAGATGACCTCTGAGGAAGAAGTTGCAGCTATGTCTGCAGCACCACCACCTTGGAACCCCACTCCAGAGGAGGGTCCAGCAGGGCACCAACTTCTCTCGCCTCCAGCAGACCTCAATAGCCCAGACCTCTGTTCAGCCCCGCGTGCTGACAGAGTACAGCGCAGGTCCCAGCTATGGCCAGCGCTCCGAAGGTCTGGCTATGTCTGTCTCCCCCAACGCTGAGCCGTCACCATTTCCGGTTCGCGCGTAGCGCAGCAGCAATGTACTCGGTACCAACTGCCAAAAGCCCTGAACCGATGTGCCGAACCTATCTATAGTCTACTCTAGCCTAGACTCGACCTAGACCAGACTAACTGACCGACCGGTACCGATTCTGTTTCGGCCTCTAGGGCCTCTCCCAACCTGGCTATAAGCTATAGGACCGTCTATCAGCTTAGGCCTTTAGGGCCTGTCTGTCCTGGGGGTAGCCCGGGCCTGCTATTCGCAGTTAGGATAGCTGTAGGAAATTCAGATAGTACGGGCCTGTATTTTCCCGTATTTACAGATACGTCCGTCACGAATTTTCCTTACAGGCAGGTCACTCGGTTAGCCCTCAGCCAAACAAAATTACGAATCTATCCTACCTATGGTACAGCCTCGACAGAGAGAGGCTACAGGCGACCAGAAACAGCAAGTCATTGCACCCTCCTAGCAAGAGACCTGGGTGCTCCAGTCTATTGGTGGGGAGCAGCACCTGCTGGAAAGCGGTTCCAGCGTCCCATGGAGCAAACTATTACACATGAGCAGGCAGAAAAGCTGGACACACCACTATCACAGGAGGAGCTGCATGAAGCCTTGAAAATTGAAATCCACGAACCCGAACAAGATGCCAGAAAAAGATGGTCTGACAAAGGAATTTTGGCTAGCCTATTGGCCCGTACTGGCTGGGGAATATGAGACGTTTCTCAACGAGACATGGCGAAAAGTAGGGATGTGGATAAATCTGTGTACAGGGGTGGTATAAAAAGGGCGGGACCCAAAGGACATACGTAACTATAGACCGGTAACCATGCTGGCTATGACACACAACATAGTTGCAAAGGCGCTAGCCAACAGACTAAAAGGACCATAACACAACTGTTTTCAGATGGACCAGATACGCTTCATTCCAGGAGGATTGAACTTGGACAATGTTATGACACTGATACAGTCAGTTAGATATGAAACTGACAAAAGATTCAAAAAGAATGAATTCAGCGATACTGTTTTTCGATTTCGGAAAGGCTTACGATCAGGTGAACTGGGCTTTCGTCTTGCAACAACGCATACGAAAAACAGGAGCAGGATCCAATTTCAGAAAGTGAGTAAGGGTGCTACACAATACGAACATGGTGAAGTCCAAGTGTTGCATACTGTAACGTGCAGACCAGAACAAGAACCGACCTTTCAATACAAAGTATAAGATAGCACAACGGAAGACTTAGATACCAGTGATCCGAACAATCAATGTTGCAATGCAGCCCTGAACATACATCATCATCATCGTTACATGGTGTGAAATGGGCCTGGCGCTTCACACAGGAAGACTGCGCCAGCCCATACCATACACAGACGAAGA